CACCTCCCACTGGGGATGTGCCTGCAAGCACTGTACATGCCCTTGACCGGCATCAAACCTGGGACCTTTCAGTCCCCAGACCAATGGTCTACCACTGAGCCAAACCAGTTTCGGCATGAACCCAGGACTCTTTAGTCCGAGGCCAAGGCCCTATCCATGGAGCCAGACCAGCAGGTGCCACGATTCAGTGTTAAGTGGCAGGCTGTCTGATTGGACCATTTTCCAACATGGACAGAGGGCGGCCCCCAGGGACAGTGAGCTGGGTACGGGCTTGGGCACCTCTGGGGGCAGGGCTGGCCGGTGCAGGCTGCCTTTGAGGCCCCCTCACTTCATGGAGGGAAGGCCATGGTTCCTGTTTGTTTCTTGGGAACAGGAGTCTGGGAGCCGTGCCTGACGACAGGAGGGGCTGTGGTGCGTTTGGTCTGCTGTCTCAGCAAAGCACTCATGGCACTTCTCAGACTCTCTTCCCGGGAGCCCCAGAGGAGGGAGGTCAGGACAGGAGGTCACCTCGTTTGGGAAGCAGAAAGGAAGCGGCAGTCCTCAGGGTTGGAAGGTGGAGCAGTGCCCAGGCCCTGTCCGAGTGTGCTTGCTGCCGCTGACTTGCGGACCGGGCTTGTCAGGCCCTTGTCGAGGTGTGGGTGGGTGCGTGTCCTGTTGTCACAGCCGCTGGACCAGATGTTTATGCACTGAGGTGGGGGGGGCATCCCGAAGGGGGGAGGCCGCAGTGACGGGGGAGCGGCAGGGCGTGGGGGCCACGAGACCATCACACGCCTCTGGAGACTGATGCCCACTGGGCCGTGCCCCAGGCAGGGCCTGGCCGGGTCTGTGGCATGGCGGCACCAGGAAGGGGTGAGGGTGCGAAGTGCATCGGTGCCAATGTGCTTCATGCAGGGTGTCAGGGGCTGTCTTATAAATGTGTTTCCTGAACAGAATTGACCTGCAGCACTGGCTCTTGGGCCAGCCCGGCGCCCACGCACTCGGAACCCCGGGCCACCGACTGTGGGGCCCGGCCTCCCTCCTGGCTGCACGGGGGCCTGTGGCTGGGGCTCCCGGGTGCAATTCCAAGGGCAGAGGGAAAGGTCAGGACCCGCTCCCTTGGGAACAGCCAGGAGACAGCTGTGACCCTAAGGGGGGCTCTGGAGCGTGGGGCTCGGGGCAGAAGGCCCAGCAACAGTGCTTTTGAGGCTCTGAGATCTTTAGCCCCCAGTCCAGCACCCTGACCCTCTCCATTCATTCATTTGTTCATTCGTTCATTCATTGGTTCATTAATCCATTCATTCATTGGTTCATTCCTTCCCTCAGGGGGTGTGGGTGTTGGGGTGTCCAGTCGCACCTCTCAAGGAGCTTAACGTGGGCATGGAGGCAGGGCCGGGGGACACATAGGTTGAGAGAACTGGTGCGGAGGCCACGGTGAGGCGGGCAGCGGGCTGGCTGGGCGAGCTCTAAATTGGCGCTGGCGGGATGGGAACCCACTGGCGGGTTTGAGCCGTGGCTGCCAGGACAGTTCAGGTTGTAAAAGACCACCCTGTTCGAGGGTGGGGGGGCAGCCTGGAGGGTGCTGGGAGCTCTGGCGGGAGGCGTCTCAGTGGTGAAACATGAGGCCAGTGCACACAGCGTTGGACAGAGGGCCGTGGGTCCAGGCTGCGGGTGGCCATTTGCTCAGATGGCAGAGTGAGCAAGCGGCTCAGAGGGAATCACCTGAGAGAAGGACAGTGGCTGTCTCTGTGATGGCACACCAGCTGAGCGAGCAGAGATGGTGCACCAGGCCGTGGCTGAGCCAAAGGCATCCTGTTGCTGCCACTCCTGCCTGTTTGCTGAGAGCTTTCTACCTGCCTGGAGGTTCCTACTTGCCTGAGGGTCCCACCTGTCTGGTGGTCTCACCTGCCTGGAGGGTCCCACCTGCCTTAGAGGGTCCCACCTGCTGGGGGTCATTGGGAAGCAGCAGAGCCCTGTGCTTTTGGAGACAACTTTTTAGTGGAAAGGAGAATGGCCAGCAGTGTAATAAGTGAGCCACAGAAGGTGCTGGAAGGAGGCTCTGCGGGAGGTCTGAGGGCTGGCCTTTTGTGAGGCATTGAGACGTCATGCAAACCGGAAGGTGACAAGGGGGAGCCCTGGGGTCTGGACAGCCTGCAGGGCCAGAGGGGGATGGAACGCAGGAGGCCAGGGCTGGTGGCCCCACAAGGACCCTTCTGGTTTCTGATAGAATGTGAGGGCCTTCGGGCTTTGGGGGGCTGGGGTCTCATCTGAGGTCTTGGAACTGGGCTCCTGGTGGGAGGAGAGGGGAAGGGAGAGGGGACCCTGCGGTTGTGATCCTGGGCTGCTGCCACGGAGGCAGCGCAGGGAGGGGGTGAGGGAAGGAGTATGCAGGGCATTGGCAGGATGGGACGGGGTGGAGCGGCAGCCATGTGCTCGTTTTCCTCAGCGGCTGGGCCGATGTCCCGAGTGTGCCTCCTCAGCCTTGCTGAGCAGCGTTCAGGTGTGATTGAATCCCCCTCCCTCCCACAGGCTCCCAGGAGAACCCAGTTGGCCTTTTCCAGCTCCTGGGGATACCCATAGCCCTGTCTGTCCACATGAACCTCCCCATGGCCATCCCCAGGGCTGTCCCGTGGCTGTCCCCGTGGCTGTCCCCATGGCTGTCCCCATGGCTGTCCCTGTGGCTATCCCCGTGGCTGTCCAATGGCTGTCCCCATGGTTATCCCCGTGGCTGTCCCCTGGCTGTCCCCATGGCTGTCCCATGGCTGTCCCATGGCTGTCACAGTGGCTGTCCCTGTGGCTGTCCCCTTGGCTTTCCCCGCGGCTGTCCCCATGGCTGTCCCCATGGCTGTCCCCTGGCTGTCTCCATGGCTGTCCTCTGGCTGTCACCATGGTTGTCCCCGTGGCTGTCCCTTGGCTGTCCCTTGGCTGTCCCCATGGCTGTCCTCTGGCTGTCACCATGGCTGTCCCCGTGGCAGCTGGCTGCACAGCGAGAAGTACCAGCTTCTCTCTGTGACGATGCTGCCTGGCAACAAGAGGAACCCTCCCAGTCAATGTCCTGAGTTACAGGTTCTGGGAACATGTTCATGAAGTGTGCGTGCTGCCTGCAAACTGGCACACATGTGCTGTGTGCATGCACATGTGTGCACGTGTGTGTGCTGTGTGCAGGGGCGTGCTGCCTGTGTGCACTGTGCATGCTGCTTCTGTGTGAGTGGTGTGCGTGGACACACCTGTGCACCTGCCGAGTGAGCCTGCGTGCTGGGTTCGGGTGGAGCAGGGCCTCCAGGGTCCTGGGTGTGGCCCCAGCTGTGAATGGGCGCTCAGCACCCTGGTTTCGGGACCGAGGCATGTCCTGGCGGGCAGACAGACATGGAGACAGGTGGGAGGAACCAGACTGTTTATGGGGTAGCCAGCGGGCGGGTGGCAGGAGGGGGTGCCAGGGTCGGGGCCGGCTCTGCGGGCCGGCCGGGGGCAGTGGTCCCGCCCGGAGGCCTGTGGCTGAGGGGACCGGTGCAGGCCCCCCCACACGCTGGGCGGGCCGGGCGGCTCCCTCAGGCCAGGCCGGTGCCCACGGCCCACTGCCCTCCCGCCGGGGCCTCCCAGCTCCGCACGGTCCCGGGCCGGCTCCAGCGAGCCCCCCGGAGGGGCACCTTCTTGGCACAGCCCAGGGGGGCCGGGTCCCGGCCCTTCACCTTGACGCAGGTGACGAAGCCGCTGTAGAGCAGGGTGAGCAGGAAGAGGGCCACGAAGGTGGGCCACAGGCGGCCGGCGGCGTCCAGGGCGGTGTCCAGGGCGGCGGAGCCGTCACAGTCCTCGTCCACGCTCAGGGGCGCCCAGGGGGGCGGCGCCGGACCTGGGGGGGAAGGTGGCTGGGTGAGGTCGGGCCTGCAGCCTCCCCCACGGCAGCTGGGGCACACGGGGCCACAGCTTGCGCAGCCCAGCGCCCGCCCTGTCTCCCCCGGACAGGCACCTGCAACCCGCCTTCTCGTGGCCAGGCCTGGGCCCGGCCCGGCAGGACCAGGTGCTCACAGCACCGAGGGGGCGGGTGAACGAGAAGGAAACACGAGCACGTCAGTCAACACACGTGCGACCAGAGAGCCAGGGAGGCGCTGGCCGCTGTGCTCGGCTGCGTGGCTCAGGGGCTGAACGTCCACCTAGGAACCAGGAGGTCACGGTTTGATTTCCGGTCAGGCCACAGGCCTGGGTTGCAGGCTTGATCCCCAGTGTGGGGTGTGCAGGAGGCGGCCGGTCCATGATTCTCTCTCCTCATGGATGTTCCTATCCGTATCTCCCCCTCCCTTCCTCTCTGAAATCAGTAAAAATATTTAAAGTTTATATTTGGAAGTGGCAGCTGTGATGAGCTGTGGAAGACGAGATGTTGCCAGCCAGACAGAGTGGAACCGTATTCTACGCAGAGGACAGCAGGCATGGATGCCCTGTGTTGGGACGGAGAGGCCCCGTGTGGCTGGCATGGAGGGCTGGGACGTGTGGGGGGCAGGAGACCGGGCCCAGGAGGTGTACAGGCCCTGACGGCGGCCGGACGCGTGCCAGGGCTGAGCCAGGACACGCGCCCAGGCTGGAGGATGGCTGTTGTCGGCAAACTTATCAGACCGCAGAGCCTGATACCAGTACAAGGACTGAATTTTCTTTGGAGAGCCACATTTTTAAAACTTAAACTTCTTCTAACGCCACTTCTTCAACATAGACTCACCCAGGCCGTGGTATTTGGTGGAAGAGCCACACACAAGGGGCCAAAGAGCCGCATGTGGTTGGCGAGCTGCAGTTTGCCGACCATGGGAGTATAGCATCGTCTGGATGGGAAGGGGACTCGCCCAGTTGGGTCGGGTGCCAGGGCTGGGCAGGACGTGGCCTGGGAACCAGCACGCAGGGCAGCCCGGGGCCTGCTGTGCATGGCGTGGATGCGGGGTGGGCCGGGCACGGGTGAGCGCCACAGCTTTGCGGTCTGTGGGCTCTACCAATAAACAGCGGGCACAGCCTTGCTTCTTTGAGTAATTTTATTACTCATTTTATTCTTTGAGTAATTAATGATTGGTTCCTAGCGAGCGTGTGCTCCAGACTCGGGGTCCTTGACGAAATGGACATTTAAAGAACAGCGGTCCGTCGCCATGGAGACTGAGAGCCACCGGGGAGCCAGGCCGGGGTCCGGGGCCTGCTGAACGGATCCCTCGTGACCATCCCGGCAGGCAGGGCCGTCTTGGCAGCCCCGTGCAGCCTGTGGAGCTGTGGACACCGAGTGCGGGTCAGCAGTGGGCACCGGACCGCCTGGGTGGTGTCCTGTCCGCGGCCCAGCCCAGCGTGCCCACCCCATCCCACGGGGGCCAGGCGGGTGAGTACGGGGCAGGGTCTGGGTGCCCTGCCTGACGGGGCAGCCTGTCAGGAAGCTCAGAGGGGACACTGTGAGCCCTGGGCACTGTGAGCCCCACCCCGTGTATCCCTGTTCCCATCCACCGTCAGCATGGTATCTGGCCATCCCTCCTGGGTGCGCCCGGCTCCCAAGGCGCTGGCCGTGGTCTGGGATGGGTTCCGGGGCCCTGGGGCCTGGGGAGGCTCAGACACCCCTGGGGGACAGCCGTCTCCAGTGACCACCCTGTGTCTGCCCGGGGAAGGCCCTGCACCGTGGCTGTGAGCAGCGTGTCTTCACAGGGAATGGCTGCTCCCCGGGACGTGGCGGGGGTTGGGGGGACCCCACCTCCCGTCCACCTGGACCAGCACCCAGTGTGGGGACACCAGGAGTGTTTGGGACGAACCGGGGTCAGGTCCCGAATTCCCGAGTGTGGGGACAGCGAGTGCAAACTCCAGATACCAGTCAGCCGGGTGGGGCTGTACCGGGGGGTGACACAGACCCCCGGCCGCTGCCCGGCTGCCCGCCCCCAGCCCTGAGTCCGGGTGGGTGAGGGGGGAGAGGGGTCTCACCTGCAGCGTCCAGGCTCCAGCTGGCGTTGAGCAGCCTCCCTGAGGCCGGGTGCCTGACGGTGCACATGTAGGTGGCCGGCGGCCGGCGCGGGGCGGCCGGGACCCGCAGGACACTCCAGGTGCGGAACGTGCTGTCTCCAAGGTTGGCCGTGGCCTCCGCAGTGGCAAACCAAGCCGTGTCCACCTGGCGCGGGCCCTCCTGCCAGGTGAGGACCAGCTCCGTGGGAGAGAAGCCCGCCACCTCGCACAGGAGCCAGGAGGCCGCCCCGGCAGAGGCGTGAGCACCCGGCGTGGCCAGGACCCGGACGGCGAGGCTGCTGGGCGCCGTGGTGGCTGCGGGGAGGAGCCCGGGTGCGCCCTGGCCACGGACAGCCTCTGGAGGATGTGTGTCCTTGTGGGCGGAGGAGGCCGGAGGGGCTGTGGAGAGAGGACATGGGAGGCCCTGGCCCATTCCTTCCCTGCTTCTCCTTATCCGGCCCCCAGGCAGTGGCCTCGGAGAGAGGGGTCCAGCACCCCAGCTTCTGGCTGGAACCCAGGCCGAGTCTGGACATGCTGACCGGATCCCTCGTGACCCCTGGGTTTAGAAGGTCGGGGGCCCTGAGGGGGAAGTGGGTGGGGGAGGGAGATCGCCTCCTGGCCCGCCCTAGCCAGGGCTGTGGCCGTTCCGTGGCCCAGCTGAGGGGCAGCTCTGAGCCCCACTCCGGCCACATGGTCCCTGCGTCGGTGTCCGAAGTTCGCTCCGGTTCTGGTGGTCTGGTGGCCGTGACCGTCTGCCAGATGCTCAGGGACCACCAGTACGGCAACCTCTTCTGTGGTTTAGGGCGTGGACAGCCAGCAGGTGAACAGGCCACAGATGGACAGCGGCCCAGGAGCAGCGCGCTTGTAAAGGGACACACCCTGGCCCGTGTGGCTCAGTGGATAGAGTGTCAGCCCACAGATGGAAGGGTCCCGAGTTCGACTGCAGTCAAGGGGATGGGCCTTGGTTGCGGGCTCAATCCCCAGCCCTGAGTTGGGTGTGTGGGGAAGGCAATCAACCGATGTGTCTCTCACATCAATGTTTCTCTCCCTATGTTGCTCCTTCTCCCTTTCTCTCTCTCTAAAAATCAATGGGAAGAGTACCCTCGGGTGGGGAGGAACAGAAAATAAAAACAAAAAGGCAAAGGGCACAGTCAATGGGTCTTCGTCCACCTGAAATGGAGGGACTGTCCCCACGTGTTTCTGAGAGCACGCACACTGTGAGAGCCGCCGGCAGCCGGGAACCCTCGCCTGGCTGGGAGACCCGGGGTCCACCCCATAAACCCCGCCTTCAGGGGCGCCCCGATTTCTGTGAGGGGCAGTGGGGCGGGTTCTGCGCTCCTGGCTGCTCTGGCTGCTCTGGCAATGAGTCCCCACAAAAGCCCTCAGGACAAGCCTGTGTCTCAGCCAGGCCCACGGGTGGGGGCATCCTGGTGCTGGCCCGGGGCCCTCCTCGTCCACGGTGCACCCTGTGGTGTGACCCGGCAGGCACCCAGTGCCTGAAAGGCTGGGGCGGTCCTGGGCATAGCGCCTGGCATGGGGTAGGTGCTCAGGAGCAGTGAGTTCACGGCCCTGCCCTTCCTGACCAGGAGAAGGAGGCAGCCTAAGGCATGGACAGGTGGTGGGTAGGAGTACGCTGGCAGAGGGGCTCCTCACCTAGGGTTCTGGCAGGGCTGGGGGCTGTGGGGAGTTCCTTTGAGACAGCTGGCTTGTGGGACACGAAGGGGAGCAGCTCAGCCTCGTCCTTCAGGGTTTTCCAAGACGCTGAAATCAGAGGGGCAGTGGGCAGCCGAGGTCAGAGAGCATCGTGGACACAGGGGAACAGGCTGCCGGCTGGACGGGAAGACATGGGTAGGGCAGGGAGGGGATCCGGGAAGGGGCCTGGGAGAAGCTGATGCTTCCAGCCCTCTGGGAACAGGAGTGGAAGGGACTGGGTTCGAATGCTGAGCTGGAGCGGCTGAGGGCAGAGTCGGGGGTAGGGTGCGAGCCGCTCTGGGGTGCGGCTGGGTGCCCATTGGGCCCAGTCCCTGCTTTGGTCCTTGAGGTCAGGCCCTGGAAGATGCTGGGACATGCTGGAGGCCACCCACCTGGCCACTGGAGGGTCTTGGACATGTCATTGGCGCTGCAGATGACGGGGATAGGGTTCCAGGTGACGTTTTGGTAGTAGAGGTAGGTGACCCCTTCCGGGCGATTCACAATCACAACGTCCTTTGTGGACAGCTTCTCTGTCCCTCTGTGCCAGTTGACTGATTGGGTCCCCGTCACCAGGCAGGCCAGTATCACATTTCCGCCTGCTTCTGGGGCCTTGCAGCCCGCGACCATGGGGAGCACAGTCACCCCAGGAGTACCAACTGGAAGACAGACAGACGGGTTGTGCTTGTGAGGCCGGGCACTCCCAGGGCACAGGGCAGTGTGAGGGGAGAGGTCCCAGTCCTGGGAGGCCTGGCAGAGCCCTGGAGGGGAGGCCCAGACAAACTCTGGTCCCCTTGCTCTATGCATCTCCTGTCTAACCCCTCCCATGGCACCGTGAGGGGTGGAGGGATCCCCAGGGTCAGGGTGTGCCCTGGCGGATGGGCATGGGGGCCTCAGTTGCCCAGCAGGTGAGGCAGAGCCCAGCTGGATTTGAGTGTTATCACCTGAGCAGCAGTGAGGTCCACCCTTCCTGTCCCCATCTCTGCTCCCAAGGGCTCTGCTGCTTGGGACCAGCCTATCGATGGCTTTGGTCTCGGTGGGGTGCTCAGCCCTGTTCTGGGGGAATCTGGGGGCCCACAGCTCCATCAGCCAATATCCAGGCAGGCGACACCCTGCACAAGCTTCAGGCCTGGACCCTGGCAGGGCTGCCCCTCATGAGCACTGGGCTCTGGGACTGGCAGTTCCCTGGTGCGTTGGCTCACAGCTTCCTCGTCCTTTCTGTGGGGACCAAGATGGATGGGCCCATGTGGGGTCCCCAAAGGCACTGCTCTATCTTAGTTTCATGGCGCCTTTTCTCCCAGCTACCTCCTCCTCCCATGTCCCTGCATGCATACTGCCTGTCGGTGCTGGGATAGGGCCACAGGTCCCTGTGATTCAGCTGGCATGCGGGCTGTTGGGCTGGGCAGTGCACCGTGCTCTCTCTGAGGGTCCCCGGTTGCACAGCCCACCGCCCTGCTCTCCCAAGTGCCTGGTGATCCTGCTCTCATCTTTTCCTGGGCTTTCTCAGTGGTGCCATCTCCCTCCTGATAAGGTGATGAGGTCCTCCTGGAGTCAGGTGGCTCCAAACCCCATAGGAGTTTGTCCTCAAGGAGGGGGACATGGACACAGAGACACACACAGGAAGTGGCCATGCATGGAGAAAGCTCTACAGCAGGACACCAGCAGCTCCCAGAGCAGCAATGGGGAGGGCCTGGCCACCCCCTGACAGGCTGTGGGCACCAGCCCTGTGACCCTTGACCTCGACTCCCAGCCTCCAGGTCCACAACAGTAAATTTCTGTTGTTTAAGCCCACTGGTCTGTGGGACTACAGTACAGCTGATGTAGGAAATAAATGTGGTCCTTAGTACCAGGAGTGGAGTCTGATGGTGCCAGCACCTGAGTGTAGGCATGATTTAGAGTTGGGTGGTGGGTGGAGGCCTGGAAGGTCTGAGGTGAAGACTGAAAAAACCCAAACCTGGGAGCATTCGAGTTCTTGCTTTCCAGCATTGTTGTCATTTGGGTTCAAATAAATTCTTATAAAAATTCTCCACAGAGTGGGCATTGGAAGATGGTGGTGCTGTAGGGGGATCTTTCTCCCACCTCCTCCCAGAATCTACCTGAGATTGAAACTAAATTGGAGAATATTCACCCAGAAATACCAGATGAAGACTGGCTGGAGAAGAGACTTTGACACAAGGAAACGCAGAGACCACCTCAAGACTGCACCTGTACAACAGCTCAGCCTCACAGTTAGCCACCCTGAGAGGAGATCCCGACCAGAAATGGGACAACAATGTTCAAGATTCAATGATAACAGAAGAACCCAAATAATACACTAAAGGGTCACTCCTAGAGCACCCACCTCAGGAGTTCAAGGAGGCAGCACCATCTGGGTCCCACAGGATACTTACTACCAAAGGCTACACCACAAAGACTGGGAGTCATAGCAGGTATATCTAACACATAGAAACAGACACAAAGAGACAACTAAAATGGGGAGACAAAGAAATAACCACCAAATGGAAGAAAATGAGGAATCTCCAGAAAAAGACCTAAATGAATGGAGGTAAGCAATTTATCAGACATAGAGATCTGAGGAATGGTTATAACGATGCTCAGGAATTTAGTAGGAACTACAAAGAACATAGTGGGAACTACATCAACATGACAAAGAACGTAGAAACCACAAACAGGAACCAGCCAGAATGAAGAATAGTATATCTGACACAAAGTATACACTGGCAGGAATTAAAAGCAGGCCTAATGAAGCAGAGGATCAAATCAGTGATTTGGAAGACAAAGTAGGAGAAAACATTCAATTAGACAGCAAATGGAAAAAAAACAACCTAAAACACATGAAGAGAGTTTAAGGGCACGTTAGGTCAACATGAAATAAAAAAAATCTGCATAATAGGGGCACTAAAGAGAGAAGAAAGTGAACAAGTGATAAAGAACCTATTTGAAGGAACCAGGACATAAAACTTCCCTAATCTGGTATAGGAAAAAGCCACTCAGGTTCAGGAAGCAGAGTCCCAATCAAGATGAACACAAAATGACCTACACCAAAACACATCTTAATTAAAACGGCAAACATTAAAGGCAAAGAGAGAATTTTAAGAGCATCAAGCAAGAGATAGCCAATTATCTATAAGGAAGCTCCTATAGGCTGTTGGCCGATATCTCAGCATAAAAACTACAGGCAAGTAGGTAAAGTATTCAAAGTAATGAAAAGCAAGGATTTGAAACCTGGTTGAACTCCTAGATAAGGGGACAATTTGCATATTAGCCTTTTATTATATAGAATATACACTGAGTGGTGAGATTATTATGCGTTCAGAGATCATAATAATCTGGCCGGCTTCTGGCCAGCTCCTGCCCTCTCACCGACGCCCTGCTCACCTCCATAGCTCTGCCAGGTCTCACCCAGCTCCTGGCCAGCTCCTGTCCTCCCACGGCTCTCTGGTTACCTGCATAGCTCTGCCAGCTCCCACCCAGCTCCTACCCAGCTCCTGCCCTCCCACTGACCCCCTGGTCACCTGCATAGCTCTGCCAGCTCTCACCCAGCTCCTACCCTCCCAGGAGCCCACTGATCATCTGCATAGCTCTGCCAGCTCCCACCCAGCTCCCACCCAGCTCCTGCCCTCCCACCACCCCTCTGCTCTCCCAGCAGCCCCCTACTCACCTGCATATCTCTACCAGTTCTCACCCAGCTCCTTCCCTCCTCACCGCCTCCCTGCACACCTTCATAGCTCTGCCAGCTCCCACCCAGCTCCTGGCCAGCCCCCTGCCCTCCCACCAGACCCCTGCTTACCTGCATAGCTCTGCCAGCTCTCACCCAGCTCCTGGCAAGCCCTCTGCCCTCCCACCAGACCCCTGCTTACCTGCATAGCTCTAACAGCTCTGACCCAGCTCCTGTCCCCCATCTGCTCCCTGCTCACCTTCATAGATCTGCCAGCTCCCACCCAGCTCCTGGGCAGCTCCTGCCCTGCCACTGGCCAGCTCTGTCCCCTGCAGCCTCTGCTCACCCTGCCCTTGCCCAGAGGAGATCCCTCTTCACTCCCCACTGGGAGTCCCTCTGGACCTTTGCTCTTCCAAGTTGCTCTGTGCCCTGGACACTGTCACCTGCCCACCCCCATGGAGCTGTTGCTGAGCCTGTGCTGCCCGCTCTCTGGGCACAAGAGCCCAGATCCACCTCTCCTCCGGGCTCCACCACCGGCTGCCCTCAGCCCCGGGCTCCATGGCCTTGGCCTCTGACTCAGCCCATTGGCCTGGACAGCCCTTGGGCTACCCGGGCGTCCTCTTCCTCCGCTGCCCCATGTCAGCCACCTCCCTGTGCCCCCAGCTCAGACCACTGTGCATCCGGGCGGGGTCCTGTCCCCACTGCCCCAGCCCTGCCCTCTGGCCCGGGCAGCCTTGGGCTCCTAGCCCCCCCCCCCCCCCCCCCCCGCCCCGACTCGCTGCGTTTCTCTCAGGCCATGGCCCAACTGCTCCTGTCATTCTGTGGGTCCCCGAGGGCCTGGTCTCCCCTCAGGTCCTGGGGCCAGGTCCACTGTCCTCCCTCGGCTCTGCTCTATAGGAACCCCACTCACCCCGGGCTGAGCTGTGGAGACAGTGCCCCCGGCCTGCCCGCTCTTGCCCTCCGTGCATGTGGCTCCTGGTGGCGAGGCTGTGCCCACAGCCCACATCCTAGGAGTTGATAGCTGGGCCCCTGAGCCGTGACCTCCCCCATCCCTCCCCACTCCCCCTCGCCCTGAGAAGACTAAGAACGGGATTGAAACCGGTGGCAGGGCCGCTTCCCGAAGTTCCCTTTTTTCTGGGTGGTTTCTCTGTCAAGGGGCCTCGGGGAGTCTAGACGCCTCAGAGCGCCCTTCACGTGGTTGTGAGGGTTGGGGTGAGGGGGGCATCCAGGGCCCAGGGGACAGAGTGAGAACCCGCTGTCACGTGCTCTGACCCCCTCCCCCCAATGGGGCCAGGGTCTCCCTGAGGCCCCCCGGCTTCCCCAGCCTCATTGGCATCTCGCCCTGCCCAGGCAGCACTGGTGTGGGCACAGATATCTGGTCACAGTCTGCAGCCCAGCCCAGGCTCCCCATCCTCTCACCAGCGGCTGCCAGGAATCATCCGTCCTCCGGGTCCTGCCTCTGCCCTCCTACGCTCTCTGGCTCCATCATAGCCTGATCATTGACCAAAGGATGGTGCTGACCACGGCCAGAGGGACGCGGCCCTCCAGGCTCAGATGTGCAAGGACAGAGTTCGCCGTGGTCACCGCAAACAGCCCTGCACCGCCCTGAGGGCGCGGACCCACCAAAAGGGCCTTGGACCCTCAGTGTCTGCATCTGCGCTGCACGCAGCTCGGTCGTCCTGCAAGTCCGAGGTCTGGCCTTGGCTTGGGGGTGCTGGGAGGCACCAGAGCCCTCACCCCTGAAGTGCCAGGCGCCAGGAGGCCGGGCTTGTGCCCTTCAGGCTGGAAGAGCATCTGCAGGCCCCGTGCCCAGGTGCCCCGAGCACCCGTCCCGCTGTGTGCCGGCCAACAGTGCCCTGGGCCCCTCCGCCTGTCCTGTGTCCGGTCCTCACACCACCTCTCGAGGTTTGGGGTTTCTCACATCTAAGTCCCAGATCCTGGTCCAGGAGTGCACAGGAGCCTCAGAGAGGGGCTCGGAGGCTCTGCCTGGGGTATAGGCCCGGGACTGGGCAGGCTCCCCGCCTCTTAGCTGCACGGTGCCTGGACCGTGTCTCTGGAGGTCCTGCCTTCAAGGTCTGGTGGTCCTCCTGCGGCCCTCCCCGCAGAGGTGGTCAGCCAGCCTGTGGGCTCTGGGTTCCGGGGCAGGTCACGGGGCAGGAGCAGCCATGGCCATTATGACAAATATCAGGCAGCAGCCTCGGGGTAGGACGTGGCCCCTGGCCCCTCCCCAGAAATAGCTGATGGTCAACCCGGCTCCCTCCGCCCGGCTGCCTCCCCACAGTGCCCAGTCCGCCGTGCCTGGCTGTGCGAGTTGTGGGCGCTGCTTACTGCTGCCCAAGAAGCACTGGGTGGCTCACCCCATCTGGGACTTTGGCGAAACTCCGAGAGTGTCTAGGACCGTGGGTGTTTGCCCGTGGATTCCCACGGGTTTGCCCAGATTTCTGGGAAATTGTGACACCTGTGCTGGTCACTGGTTTGGAAACCGACTGCCAGTCCCCACAATGGGGTGACGGCAAGGAGACATGGCTCCTGGGGTCATTACAGGACATTGGGCACAGGTGCTGCCATTTGGATCAGGGGGGAGGGGTGGCCATGGTGGCTGGCGAGGGCATGACAAAGTGGCCGGAGTCCACACACGGGGCGTCTCAGGACCCTGGCACAGGCCCTTGGCAGGTTTCCAAGGCCCATGTGTTCCAGAAAGATCCTCTCACAAAAGAAAGCCGGCGAAGCTTGTGGCTCAGTGGTTGAGTGTTGACCTATGAACCAGGAGGTCACAGTTCAATTACAGGTTAGGGCACATGTGTGGGGGGCAGGGAAGAGGCAGCCGATCCATGATTCTCTCTCATTTATGTTTCTATCTCTCTCTCCCTCTCCCTTCCTCTCTGAAATCAATACAATATATTAAAAAAAGAGAAAGGGTAGGGAGTGGCTTTAGGATTAAGCATTGGACTGACCTGTTGGCAAAGCCACAAACAGGTCCCATCTTGGAGGGCACAGCCCTTTTAGCATAATTAAGCTTGACCTAATGACGCCAGGTAGATCTTTCCTGGGTAGCTACTGGGCTGTGGGAGGTGCAGCAAATGCTGCCAAAACAGGTGGAATTCACAAGAACATTATAACTATGGTGACCACTTCCTTGTTTACCTCTGGCTATCAAATAAAGGCTCAGCTTGCTGTCTGGATCCCTCTCTGTGGCCTCAGCCAGGAACAGGAGATCCACCTAGACCCAGCTTATTCTCTTTGTCTGTCTTTTCTTTAATCCTTTGCTACTCTCTCCCCCTCCCCCCGCCCAGGCTCACTGAACCTATGGCTGTGCTGGCACAGCACATGTGGCACCCATTGTGGGGTCCGAGTTTGGGGGAATTGCAGTTGTCAGGTGAAAGGACGCTCCAGTGAAGCATGGGCAGAAAGCAAAAAGGAAAGCAAGGAGCATAGTTTAGTACTAGCTAGGTTTAAAACAGAGAACATCCAGGATCGGAGGAAAAGAATTTATACATATCCATGCTTAAGGCTATGCTCCAAGCACGGGGCTGTTGTGTCAGGTATCAACAGCTTTTCCATTTGTTGGATTTTGTAAGTAAAACCTGCCCATGGTTTCCTGAGGAAGGAAAAGTGTAGGGAGCAGTTATAGGATTAATCCTCGGACTGACCTTCTGGCAAAGTCCCAAACAAGTCCCAGTTTGGAGGGCACAGCCCTCTAAGCACAATTAAGTTTGATCTTCTGATGGCTCCCTAGATCTTTCCTGGGTAGCTAATGGGCTATGGGAGGAGCAGGAAGTGCTGCCAAAACCAGTGAAACTTACAAGAACATTGTAATTTACCTTGTTTGCCCCTGCCTATAAATAAAGCATCAGCTTTGGAGTCTGGATCTGTTCTGTGTCCTATGCAAGGCACAGAAGATCCACCTATACCCAGCTTATTCTCTTGGACTGTCTTTTCTTCATCCTTCGCTGGTCCTCCCTCAGGCTTGCCTAACCCTTGGCTGTGCTGGTGAGGCTCAGAAAGGTAAATGTAGAGACAGGGGAGAAGGTAGGAAAGCACCTTAGAGATTGTTATATAGCTGAAGGTCCAGGGAGAATTCCTCTCTCTACTTTCAGTGTGTCATCCCTGATCCCTAAAGCCCACTCCTGAAAGGAAATGGATGAATGTGGCAGGGGAACTAAGACAGGTAGTGGAAGGTTACCAGAGGCTTAATATTGTCACAAAGGCTTGTCTCTCACCTGGAGACTACTGATTATGAAACTATTTTATTCGCGGTTGTGCTGACATTGGACCAGCCTACACTCAGGGAGTGGTATGAGCTGCTGCATTGAAGGAAAAGTTACTCTCTGGTCAGCAGAAAACGACAAGGGGCTGCTTTAACTGTGGCAAACTAGGACACTTTGCTGAAGACTGCAATGCCAGAAATGGAAGTTAAAGGGCTACAAGGGAGTGGGAACAAGCAGCTGGACTATGTCTGGGATGCAGGAGAGGAAAGCAGTGGGCACATGAATGCCGCTCCAAGACTGATGTTGATGATAATCCAATGCCCCCTTGGCAGGGAAACTTCAATCAGGGCCAGCCCTGGCCCACCATCCAGTAGGGGCCTTATCCTTGACCCCACTGAAGCCTTTCTAGCCAGCTCAGTAAACCTTCATCATGCCACCCTGGAAAGCACAGGATTGGCAAGCTCTCCCTGGGGTGATAGATCAGGATTCAGTCAATAGCAGAAAGAGACAATTCTACTCTTAAAAAGCAACTATAAAAACAAAAAAGGGGAGTTGGATGTTAGGTATTACATTTTTAAATTGCAATGCAGAGGGTTGTACAGCAGCCGAAAGGCATTGGGCCTCCTGTTCAATAGTCTCTGCCGGGTTAGCCTGGTGGAAGGATGCACAAACCAGACAAGGGTTTTACCAGATTCAGTAATGATGTGGGGAAGAGGCTGTGTTTTGTATCTTTCCAGAAGGAGCAGCACAGCCAATCTGGGTGCCAGAGCGTTACATGCATCACCACAATGGACCCAGAGCAACTTCTTTTCCCTTCGTTCAAAAGACTGAGAGTTTCCCCAATGATATCAAAGTGAAAAAGGAAGATGACAAAGACTACATAAAGGGTCGAGGTCCCAACATAGGGTCAGCTGAAGAAGTTAACAACTGAGGCCCAGCAGATGGTAGAAAAGCAGGAAGTGGAAGCTACTCCCTCAACCATGTTTCTGGCTATGCTAGCACTGGTTAGCTGCCCATCTTCAGTAAAGTCTTGCACAGCCAAGTCCAAGGACTCTGAGTAAATCAGCAAAAGAAACTTTCATTTATTAGAAAAATGTTTCTGTAGTTTAATTTCTCTCTTATTGCTGGGTTGCATTGGCATTGTTTTGTTAATAGCCATGGCTGGGTTTTGCATTGGCATTGTTTTGTTATTGTTTTAATAGCCAGAGCTTTATCGTTGATGTTTAAGTTTTACTTTCGTGATAGTAGCTTAAAAATAAAAAAAGGGTGAGATGTAGGGAGCGGCTATAGAGTTAAGCCTCAGACTGACCAGTTGGCAAAGCTACCAACAAATCCCAGCTTAGAGGGCACAGCCCTCTTAGCATCGATAAGCTTGACCTTGCCATTCCCTGTAAATATTTTTCTTTTCCCCGTCAGCACGGCTAGAGATCAGTCTGGTTCCTGATTAGGGGCTGCTTGGGATTGAGAAAATCAAAGAAAGAGACAGAAACAGATATAGAAGGAAAAAGCTGGGGCCAGGAGGGACCACTGTCCTCTGACAGGGACAGGAACAGGGACCCTGAGCCAATACAATGTCTTTATTTTAAAAAGCAAAACCCAGGAAGTTTTACTAAAAGTCAAGACAAAGGAGATTATGTGCGTTCTTGGGTGGGCCCAAATTGTATTCATTTCTGGTGGTTGGATGGATTTAAATAACAAAACCCACCCCCTGGCACCTGGGCTGAAGGTCAAGTTGACAACACTCCTGCCTCTGGCAAAATGTGTTTCCAGGACATGGCTTTGCCAACACCACTGGATTCAGCTGACAATCATTAAAGAAATGCCCATGTGCCTTCTCAGTTGCTCTCTACAGCCCACTACATTCTATCTGGGTAGCTAATGGGATATATGAGGTGCAGCATGTGTTGCCAAAACAAGTGAAACTCATAAGAACATTGTAACTATGGTGACCACTACCTTGTTTTCCTCTGACTATAAAATAAAGCCTCAGCTTGCTGACTGGATCTGTCTTCCTTCTTTAGGGCCTCATCCAGGCACAGGAGATCCACTGAGCCCCAACTGTATTCTCTTTGTCTTTCTTTAACCCTTTGATGCCCCCTCCCTCAGGTGAAGTTGAGTACCCCTAGAGTTGAATTGTGAGCTGTTGGGTTGGATCTGGGCCTGGCTTTCAGGAACCAGAGAAAAGAGAGGCTTTGAGGATATTCACAGGAACCCCTTCCTGTGGCCTCGTTCCCATTTGGGAATCAATTCTTTTATCATCCTTCTTGGCTGTCTTTGTTTCTGTGACTTCTTTATTTATTTATTTTTGTTAATCCCCATCAGAGGATATTATATTTTGTTTGGGTCATGTAATCTATTTACATTTATTTTTAATTTTTATAATAAGTCTTTATTGTTCAGATTATTACAATTGTTCCTCTTCCGCACCCCCCGCCCCCCATAGCTCCCCTCACCCCACTCTTTGCCCTTACACTCCCCCCCCCCCCGCACCTGTCCTCATCCATAGGTATGATTTTTGTTCAGTCTATCCTGAATCCCTCACACCCCTTTCTCCCTGTGAATTGCCAGTTCACTCCCTTTCTATGACCCTGATTCTGTTATATTCACCAGTTTATTTTGTTTATCAGATTTTTTTATTCATTTGATTTTTAGATTCATTTGTTGATAAATGTGTACTTGTTGTTCATAATTTTTATCTATACCATTTTCTTCTTCTTCCTCTTCTTTCTCTTCTTAAAGAATACCTTTCAGCATTTCATATAATACTGGTTTGGCAGTGATGAACTCCTTTAGCTTTTTCTTATCTGTGAAGCTCTTTATCTGACCTTCAATTCTGAATGATAGCTTTGCTGGTAGAGTAAGCTTGGTTATAGGTTCTTGCTATTCATCACTTTGAATATTTCTTTTCACTCCCTTCTGGCCTGCGTCGTTTCTATTGATAATAAGCTGACAATCATATGGGTACTCCCTTGTAGGTAAATAACTGTTTTTTTCTTGCTGCTTTTAATATTCTCTCTTTGTCTTTGGCTGTTGGCATTTTAATTATGATGTACCTTGATGTGGTCCTTCTTGGATTTCTTTTGTTTGCGGTTCTGTGTGCTTCCTGGACTTGTAAGTCTATTTATTTCACCAGCTGGGGAAGTTTTCTGTCATTATTTCTTCAAATAGGTTTTCAGCATCTTGTGCTGCCTCTCTTCTTCTGGTGTGCCCATAATTCTGATGTCGGTACACTTGAAGTTGTCCCAGAGGCTCCTTACACTATCTTCATAGTTTTTCATTCTTTTTCTTTTTGTTTTTCCAGTTGGGTGTTTTTTGCTTCTTCATATTTCAAATCTTTGACTTGATTCTTGGGATCCTCTAGTCTGCTGTTGGGTCTCTGTATATTATTCTGTATTTCAGTCAGTGTATGCTTAATTTCTAGTTGATCCTTTTTTATATCCTCCAGTGTTTCACTAAATTTATCAGCAGTTTCTAGTAGATTCTTGAAAAACCTTATTACTGTGGTTTTGAACTCTATATCCTCCATTTCTGTCATTTGTGACCTGCTTCTTTGTCTCTGCATTTTGGCTGTTTCCCTGTGTTGATAGAGTGGCTTTGTGTGCTAGATGTCCTATGGGGCCCAGTGACTCAGCCTCAGATACCTGAGGTAGACACGCTTGTGCACCCCTTTGTGGGCTATGTGCTCAGTCTTGTTGAAGTTAAAACTTTATTGTTGTTGGTATAACTGGGAGGAATTGACCTCCAGGACAGTTTTCTGTGAGGATCAGCTGTGTGTATGATGGGAGAACTTATGTGCTGATGACACATTTATGGGGCAAGACTTGCTTTGGTGCTCACTGAGTCTGCCCCTTGAGTGTGTCCCTTATTGGTCTGAGGAGTTTGTTTTTTCTTTTTAAAAAATATATTTTATTGATTTTTTACAGAGAGGAAGAGAGAAGGATAGAGTGTTAGAAACATCGATGTGAGAGAATCATTAATCAGTTGCCCCTTTCACACTTCCTACTGGGGATGTGCCTGCAAACAAGGTATACACCTTGCACCAGAATCGAACCCAGAACCTTTCAGTCCGAAGGCTGAGGCTCTATCCACTGAACCAAACCGGTTTTGTCAGATTTGGCGAGTTGTAATCTGGATGGTCCCAGTCTGACCACTGGGAACACTGGCTCTTGAATCTCTAAGGAGGTGCTAATTTAACATCTTCCCGAGGCCACCCAGCAGGAGCTAATTTAGCCTCTGCCTGAGGCCACCCTGTAGATTTCTATTCTTTGTTTGGGTTTTAGAGGTGCCCAGATGAGGCCCAGCTGTGAAGCAATGCAAGCTGCCAGGGGACCTTGGGCCTTGTTTTGGATGTTTGTGTCTCTCATAATCAGTTGCAGTTTGTTAGGTAATTTTAGGTTGCAAAGAGCCAGGCCATTCATATGCAAAAGCTTCTACACACAGCTTGGGTGGGGTGGGGGTCTAAGCGTGGAGCAAACACCCCAACCAGATCCTCAGCCCTGCCCTAAGAAGCCCCCTGGTCTCAGTGTCCCTCAGTAATCGCTACAGGCACCTCTGAGAGAAAGCTGCCCTTGAGTTCCACCCAAAGCCAGACAGTCCAGTTTCTCCCAGTATGAGTCTGGGTCCCCAGAATCTCCCCCAGAACTGGAGTTCATAGCAGTCGGGAGCTTTTGTCTCCCTTCTGATTGAAAAAGACAACAGTGCACCCAGTTGCCAGCCCTTTCTGCTCTTGCGCCTCTATACCTCCACTCTTCACTTCTGCACCTTCTCTGAGTCACAGTGTGCTTTTCTCTTCCCTTCTAGTTGTAGAATTTCCACTCAGCCAGCCTCCTTGTGGTTCTGGATGATGTCCTTTTTGTCTTTTAGTTGTAGTTTTGAAGTGGTTGTGCGAGGCAGCAATTTCAGGTGTTTACCTATGCCGCTATCTTGGTTTCTCTCCATTTACATTTAGTTTAATTATGCACAGGGAAGGGCCTACTTTGGCCATTTTGTTACTAGTTTTCTGTCTTTCTTGTAGCTAGTTCACTCCTCTTCTTTCTTGCTGTCTTCCTCGGCGTTTCATTGATTTTTTCTGTTGGTGGTGATAGTCTTTGATTCCTTTGTTGTTCAATGTATGTAAAGTTGTAGTTATGCACCATAGTGTCTGCACCTGAACATTTGTTAAAAGGGTAGATTTTATATTAAGGCCTGGAGTGGGGTAGGACCTGGGTGGAGGGGTGATATGTGGGGAATAAAAGGAGGACATCTGAAATACTCTCAACAGTAAATATTAAAAAAAGAACTTCCTATATAATAAAAGAGTAATATGCAAATTGACCAGCACACCAAGACACAAGATTGCCACCCCTATGTGGTAAAAAATGGCTACCCCTTGTGGACACAAGATGGCTGCCACAAGATGGCCTGTAGGGAAAGGCAGTTGTGGGAAGTTATGGGTGACAAGGCCAGCAGAGGAGGGAAGTTGGGGGAGACCAGGCCTGCAGAGGAGGGCAGTTGGGGGGATGAGGCCTGCAGGGGAGGGCAGTTGTTGATGATCAGGCCAGCATGGAGGGCAGTTAGGGGTGACTGGGCCAGCAGTCTAATTAGCATATTATCCTTTTATTAGTATAGATAATATATATTTAATATATTTTAAAATTTTTATTTTATTTTTTTCAATACTCACATGATGATATTTTTTCATTGATCTTTAGAGAGAGTGAAGGGGAGGGAGGATATATGTATATCCTCCTTTAGAGAGAGAGAGGGAGAGAGAGAGAGGGAAACATTGACATGAGAGAGACATCTATTCGTTGTCTCTTACACATGCCCTGACTGGGGCTGAGAATCAAACCAATAACTGAGGTATATGCCCTTGACTGGGAATTGAAC